ACGCACTGATGGGGTTTACTAATTTCCCCCCACTTCCTATTGGACGAAGAAAAATCCTCCCTTTTGATCAAATAATAGAAGTATCGTTGAAGCAGTATAAAGGTCTAATAAAACATATTCTATGCTAAAATTTTGCAAGGAATTTTTTTTGTTAGAACACGAAAGGCGGTTTTGTAATCAAAATTTTAAGTTACTGCCAATTTTTGAAAAACTTCGACTTTTTTTTGAAATTTTATGTTACACCTGATCTTAAATTTGATTAGTAGATGAAGTGTGGCGTAGTCTATTTTGTCCAATCAGAGATAGCTTTTGCAAATATCCACTCAGAACTGGGGGAGAAATTAGGGATCCCCGCACTGATGTATGCTATATATCTCTTTAATAAAGTTTGAATATCCAGCACTATTAGCGCCCAACAATTATATCATATGTGTGCAGTTCTTTCGAGAATGTCGCAATAGTTACAGATTTGACAATCACTCAGATGTAGTTATAGTAAAATAATTACTACATTTGCCAATTAACAGGTAACCAATCGAAAACGTTTAAACGGACGAACTCTGAATTAGATGATTTATTTATAGATAGCTAGATAGATGAAAATAGCAATATGCTTGCTTAATTTGAGCTTATAAAATTGCATACTATACTAGTTTTAATACAAATCCGTATTACCAAAATTCGAATGACTGTGATATATAAATTATAATTATTATAGCGTCTGACTTGTGGCTTCGCCACAGTTCTGTAAAAATTCATAAAAATTTTAAGAGCTTGATCAGAAATCTGTAATTTTCATTAAGCGTGGATTAATATTAATAGAATAGTTTATATATGACCCTTATTCTGAATCGGGCTACCCTTAACTTTCAAAAAAATAATTATCTGAAAGATATAAAATTGATATTCTAATGCTAAATAATTTATTTCTTAAATTTTAGTAAATTAATGCCCTCAGATTAAATCAATGCTAATAAAAAATTGAATAAATTATTAACTTCTTAATAAGTGATAATAGTGATAATTGTATTCATACATGTACTAAATCAGAATGAATAAAAATGAGATTAATTGCTTATTTTAAATACTTCAACCAACTAAAGTTGCTAAACTCACAAACCCAGAGTTGAGCTATTGTAAAAACTCTGCTACATAGCATGTAATTAGTTACTGAGACAAAATTTATGATTTCCATGTGTAGCTAAGATTGAGTTGTTTGTATTAGAATCGAAATTTTTATTGTGAGTTTCTGTTACAATGCTTTGTTAAAATTTGCATTAGATTTCTATGAGTTACAGAACCTCTTACTATTTTTAAATACATTGGGATTATCGTGATTTCTACCATGAGTAGGGATGGGTCGGTCCATCCCAGTCCTATAAGACCGATTTTATAATGTTACAAGAGAAAAGGTGGCGCCACCGGCACCTCTATTAATTGTAATATTTTTTAATATGATTTGTTTATTATTATGTTTGTTATTATTTGTTAATATGTAGTTGTTAGTTATATAGAATTGATCAGTATATGCTATAAGTGTAATAATTTATAAATGCTAAGGTTAATTGTTGTGTAATTATTGCGTAAATGGTATGTTAGAATTTAAGTTCTAAAATTTTTATTAGTGTTAGTATTATGTAATTAAATTGCATAGTTATATATTTATTAAAATATATTAATTGAATTATTGTAATTTTGAATAGTATTGTTATGTTGGATTTATTACTGGTGGTTGAACTGAATTTTTTCTTTTATATTACCTCTTTTTCCCTTCAGAAGAGGGGGAGAGGGGAGTTCATAGTTTGTAGTAGAATTTTAAATTTTTTTTTGAAGAAAAAAATCCGTAGAAAATATTACTATTCTAGTGATGTACATTTCGTGATTCACTAACGCATGTTATTAACATTATCTATATTTCTGTTAATTTAATATCCACTAAGTGTCACGGAGTTACCTAAACTACCATGTATTTGTGGGTCTTTACTACCAAACTTCACTCGCTTGGCTAATTGTGCGATGACTGGAGTATCATACCAGATACTACCACCACCAATACAATATCACTAAGATACAGTTTATTCACTAAGAACAAAGTTTATTGTTTAGATGTTTCTTTATTGTTAAAGACTGTTTTATTCATCTCTCTAATCTAAACTCAACTAATTACTAAAGACCATTGTTCTATTTATATCACATGATGGTTGATCATGCAACGCATAAGTTATATGAACCTGAACCTGATCCTGTGCTATAAAACACATGTCGACCAAATCTACCATGTCACAAAGTGTGTATAATGAATGAAAGTTAGTTTAAAAAATCATAGATGACAACTGGGGATGTGAATAGTATTTATGTTCAAATTTTACACATTAGAGATGTAAATTGTTTGCTGATCCTAACAGTTTTTGGCCAAAATTAACCATAATGCGGACCAAAAACTGTTAGGATCAGCAAACAGTTCGCATCTCTATTCACAGATCGATTACAAATTACAATGATCCTGTACAACATTAATTATGCAAATAATTAAAATGTTGCTAATCCTAATAAAGTTAGCTGATTTAATATAACACTAAGTATATTTTTCTGGAAACTACTATATTATAATATCGTACTAATCTTGTATATGCACTTTTTAGCTGTGGGCTTTATACAATCATGACACTATTATAGCCTAATTTATTGTCGATCATACATAAACATGATTGCTAACTGGATATCAAATACTGGTATTAGTATGTGAATTTTTATTAATGTTAATATATTTACCCATGTATGTATATACACACGTGTATCTGGTATATAACAGGTGCATAACTAATAGTATTGTTTGAAATCGCAAGTCATATACATACTTATGTAAATAGAAAACATTCGTGATAGTGTAGTAAATTTTGACAATTGATTAATATATGAGTGTTAATAAATGAGAACTCATAATTCTAAAAAGTAATTAAGTTTTATAACATCTCTATTTTTATAATTATAAGTTTATTGCGACATTTGTAAATCAATATGTTGGCATTTTATAAAAATGATAATGGCATTCTAATATATTATTGTAACATTGTATTCTTGTTAGTCAAAGTCATTAGTTTATATACATACATATTAGTATATAGGAAAGCTAATCAACTGGTTACAATTACTGTGAGAAATAATTATGTCAATATGCCTGCAATGTATAATAATATATTCTATTATTAGTTATGGGGCTTTTTTTATCCAATCAAATAATTAAGAATGGACATACTCATGATGGCTTGTAATTTTATAATGTTTTAATTACTATAAAATTATTTTAAATTATTTTATAATTATTTTATAATAATCTTATAATGATTTTATAATAACTTTATAATATATTATTTTAAAATAATTTTATAATTATTTATAATTATTATATAATTATTGTATAACATTCTTATTATAATTTTATAATAATCTTATAACAATTTTATTAATATTAAATAATTTATTATAAAATACATCTATAGTGGTTTTACATATGTTGTATGTTTTATTATATTTTTTAGATTTTTCTAAGTTTTAAATATAAAAATTTTCAACACAAAATTTTCAAGTTAATGTTAGTATTTAGTATTAAGGTCAAGGTTTAAGAAGGGGTTTTTAAAACATAGATTATTTTTACTTAAAACATTTTGAATTAATTAATTAGACAGTTTTTGAGATAATACTATATATACATAGGTGTAAAACACTATAGGTGCATTTTGGTAAAAATCATATTAAATAGAATTTATTTAAAATTCACCAGAGGTGAAATTCACCGGCCTAAGAATTGTTAGGGTTATGTTAGAGTTAGGATTAGAGTATTAAGATTTTTTTTTATATAAAATAACATAGAGCTAATAAAAGGTTCTAATCTTAGTTCTTGTGAGGTTTTCAGGGGTTCTGAACATTTTTACTTAGAGTACCCGATCCTGTTTACTTAGTACGTTTTTGAGATACAGCACCCCGGTGAATTTCATCTCCGGTGAGCATTAAAATCGTCCTATTAAATAATAGTCTTAAAATAATTTTAAAACAATTTTATAATTTTTATACTAAAAATTTATTGTAAAATAATCTTATAATTATTAAAATATTATATAATATTTTTAACTTCATTAAAAAAAAATAGCTAGTTTTTGTAATGTTATTATAACACAACTAAATAATTTTAAAATTGTTATTTTTTTATAAATTGGAAAAATTTTATTTATTTGAGATTGCAGCACATGTAATATGGTGTGGATCACCTAAAGCCATCAACTTTTAACTATAAAATTTTTAAACTTTTTTAAAATAAACTAAAAAAAAGTTTTTTGTATAATTTAATAGCTTTTTGATTAAACTATCAAATCCACAAAAAAAAATTTTAGAATCTTTTATTTTAAGAAGTTTATATCAATTTAAAGTTATATATAGTTTAAAAATTTGGCGTTTATATATAAAAAACAAAATTTATTAATAAAATTTAAATTTATACTAACTTTTTCTGCATTTTTATTGGTCAATCATGTTACACTGCAGCTAAAAAATTGGCGCCTATATATAAAATTTGTTGGCTTTAAGTAATCTCCACCATATTACAATATTTATTGAATTATTAGATTTTAAAATTTTTTATTTATATTGAAAGATTTTTGGAATAATACAAAAATATATTACCAAAGCTAATAAATTTTCTAGATTATTAATTTGGTATCTGTAGCTCTACTAGTTGGTTTTAAATTAAGTCTCCTCATGTGGTTGAACTTGATTGCCAGGTTCTTTCTGTTCTAGCTTCTTTAGCTACTGCATAGTAATACTGGTCCAATTTTAGTTTTATTCATAATAAACATTGCACATACTTGTATAATAACTGGATTAAAAAGCTTGTTGCAGTTTATCAAAATTTGTGCAAGTAAATTTCCATCACTAAAATAGATTTTATACAATATTATAACCCCCAATTTACAGTTGCTTTCAAAGATGTAAGCAAGTGTAAACCATTATACCACGGAAATAAACGCGATTTCATTGATTTTCATAATTTCTATTTGATTTTTCTTAGTAAAATTAAGGAATTCGGAAATCATATAATTTCCCATGATAAAAGGTTTGCATTGACTTACATCATTCTGAAAAGCTATAAATTGAATCAATCATTTAATGACGGGTCTAACATCTAATTTTTTTTTTAGTTAAATAAATAAATATATTAGATATACAATAAATCTTTGGATAAATGAAATAATCTCAAGGTAATTTTAGTTATCAAAAAAAGTAGTGAATACGTTTTTTTGATATTTTGATCTATGTAATAGAACATAAAACTAAATACAAAAAACTTATACTGCTAAAAATTATGAAATAGAATATGCAGTTTTTAATTAACTAATGCAAATATATATAGTGAGTTAATTTTTTTCACTTTCATTATCTTCAACTTTGAAAAAATAGCAAAAAAAAAAAGTTTTTTAAAAAAACCATCAAATTTTCAAATTAAGCTACCCTAATAATCGTCAATATTAATTTCCGAAATAGAGCGGCTACCATAAGAGAACAATAATAAAACAATAAATTAATATTTAATAGCAATACATTAAATGTATAAGTAATGTGAAGTAATTACAGTCCTATTAGTACCTTTAAGACGCTTCGGTATTTCTTGTACATCGATTAATGTGTTATAATATTTATTCTGAAGCATTGATAAAGATTTTAGTAATGTTTGTTTAATTATACTATCAGCATCAATGAATTTATCTTTTATCGTTATTTCAAGTTCCTCTTCATCTATCAAATTTTCTGATCCTAAAATTGTTTTCCAATGATTAATTTTTAAATGAATGTATTCAGCAGTAGGCCGATTTTGTGGATTTGGTTGTTTCGCTAATCAATATAGCAATCAGGGGTTCCTTTGGCAAATTCTGGACGTAATCCATTGTAAATTTTTAATGCAAGTTCAAAATCGCACTTAGTACCATCATATGGCCTTTTTCCAGTTGTTATTTCTGTCATAATAATACCTAAAACCATAAATATCTGCCTCTTGTGTGTGTTGCCGACCCTGGAGAACTTCTGGAACAACATATGGAATGACTCCATAAATACCTCTTTTTGGATCATCCTCTTCTTGTTTTCTAGATAATCCTAGATCTGTAATATATGAAATTATATTTCCATAGATATCTTGGTTTACTAAAATATTACCACTGTGAAAGTCATCATGAATAAGTCCTGCTTTATGAATTCGAGATAAATCAAAAGATATATCCGCAAGTTGCTTTAATTTCTTTTGCCATACAAGTTCTCTAAAATTTTTAGCTAAAAAGTCATGAAGATTTCCTTTATTGGCATATTGATACACCATCATATATTGACCATCCTCTATATTCTGAGTCAATCCGTATACTTCAAGTGCACTACCCTCTAATCACATTGCATATGATTTTTAAACTTGAAAGAATATATGAATAAGTTTTTGTAAGATTATATCCTGTAGATTATTATTACTGTATTTTGCGTGTAATAACGTTATTACTATTTAAAAAAATAAATTTGACATAAAATAACTCCTACATGCATCCTAAATACTGTTACGCCCCTCAAATATATTATATTATTATCACCACATATAACTTTACACACAAAAATTATTAAAAGTGGTCCAAATATCGTACATACGCATCATCAAATAAGCGCCATTACACCAAAATACAGTAAATAGATAATTTTGGCTTACCTCATTTAAAAACTCGGAAGAACTTGTTTGAGAACCAGGCAATGTCTTAAGAGCAACATCACAGGATTTTTTACGATATCATACATAACCCAAATTATTATCACCTTCGACCATTCGTTTACCATCTAGCCAAATTGATGAATATATTGTACCAAACCCTCCTCTGCCAATCTCTTTTACATTATCTAGTCTGTTATATGGGATCCATTCAATAACATTCTCAAATGCCGTAGCTTTAAATTGAAATTCTGTAATGCAATCATCTAAGTTCCTATCGCCACTTGTTTTCTGTGCCACTCTTGGAGGGTCACACAATTGACACCAAGCTGGATTGGTGTTGTATCGTTTACAATGCTCACATATTCCATTACAGACCTTTCTTTTGTTACTATAAAAATCAATTACAAGTATGTATTGATCAGTTTCTGTACTTTGAGTTATTCCATGGATTCTATATTTCCCTAATTGTATATGAACTTTAAACTTAGAAAATATGTATTTAATTAATTAATATTTTAAATTTTCAAACAATAAAATAGAATAATAAATGATTTAACTTACATTTTCTAATAGTTCTAAAGTATTCGAATAATTCAATTTCATAAGATCAACAGATGATATAGTGCGTGACTGTATATATTTTCAGATACACCTTTAATTATCCTTTTACCATCTAGCCATGTCGCCATAAATATTGTTTCTGATTCTTCGACTCTGATCTTTTGTAATCTGCTTAGTCTATTAAATGGAATCCATTCAATCACCTTTTCATATTCCGCAGCTTTAGATTGGAATTTTTTAATGAAATTATTAATATCCTCATTTTCACATGTCCATTCTTGAATTATTTTCCAAGGATCGCAAGAATGACACCAAGCAGGAGAAGTGTTGTGATGCCCACAGCTTTGGCATATTCCGTTTCTTCTAGGGTTACATTCATTTGGTATTACAATTATATATTTGTTTGTTTGTTTATTTTTAGTAATTCCATATACAATATTTCCTTCTTGCTGCATATAATTTTTAAGCTTATAAAAGGTTTAAATGTATTAATAGCATCGCTATTAGTTGTAACAATTCAATACTGCAGTAAATTAACTTACTTCTTTAATAAACAAATCGCATGTTTGAAAATCATGTAATATTATAAGATTAACATCACATAATTTAGTACATGACTGTGTACATTCTACAAGTTCGCCTTTAATTATTCTTATACCATCTAACCATTTCGCCTTAAATATAGTTTCTGATTCTTCTTCTCTAATCTTTTGCAAATTATTCAATTTATCAAATGGAATCCACTCAATCACCTTTTCATATCCTGTTGCTTTGAATTGGAGTTCTTTGATGAAATTATCAATCTCTGCATTCTCGCTTGTCCGTTGAGTTGATCTCCAAGGATCACAGGATTGGCACCAAGCATGTGAAGTGTTGTGATGCCTACAATATTTACATTTTCCATTTGAATCGCTTCTTCTAGAATTAAATTCATCCGGTATTACAATTATATATTGATTTGTTTCTGTATTTTTAGCAATCCCATATACAAAATTTTCTTCTTGCTGCATATAATTTTTAAGCTTATAAAGGTTCAAACATATTAATTACATCGTTATAAGTTGTGAATAATGAAATAATATTTAACTTACCTCTTCAATAAACAAATCGCACGTTTGAAAATTATGTAATAACTTAAGGTTGACACCGCATGATTTAATACGTGACTGTATACATTCTACAGGGTTATCTTCAATTATTCTTGCACCATCTAACCATGTCGCCATAAATATCGTTTCTGATTCTTCTTTTTTAATAATTTGCAATTTATTCAATTTATCAAATGGAATCCACTCAATCACTTTTATATATTCCATAGCTTTGAATTGGAGTTCTTTGATGAAATTATCAATCTCTTCATTTCCACTTGTCCATTCTTGAGTTGCTCTCCATGGATCACAGGATTGGTACCAAGCAGGAGATGTGTTGTAATGCCCACAGCACTGGCATATTCCATTTGAATCGTCTCTTCTAAAACTAAATTCATCTGGTATTACAATTATATATTGATTTGTGTCTGTGTCTTGAGTAATTCCATACACAACATTTTCTTCTGACTGCATATAATTTTTAAGCTTATAAAGATTTCAAACATATTAATTACATTGCTATAAGTTGTGAATAATGAAATAATATTTAACTTACCTTTTTAATAAACAAATCGCATGTTTGAAAGCCATGTAATATTTTAAGGTTAACACCACATGATTTAACACGTGATCGTGAATATTCTACAAGGTCACCTTTAATTATTCTTATACCATCTAGCCACGTCGCAATAAATAATGTAACTGATTCTTCTTCTCTAATCTTTTGTAAGTTAATTAGTCTATCAAATGGAATCCATTCAATTATTTTTTCATATTCTGTAACTTTGATTTGAAACTCTTTAATATATTCGTCAATATTTTTATTTCCACTTTTATTTCCTTTAGTTACTTCTTCCAGAGGGTCACATGATTGACACCACATTGGAGAGATATACGGTCGATTGCATTTTGTACATTTTCCATAAAAATTATATCTTTAAAATTATGTTAATTCCGTTGATTAGATCTTTAGTTTTAACAAAATGATAAATATATATTAATGAATATTAACCTTTTTGTTTGGTCGATCGGCGATGTCATTGATTAATATACGACTTTTAATAAACAAAAATTGAGGAGGCTTTTCTACTTACTCACTATTTATTATAATTAATAAAGAGTATTAAAATTTGAATGCTTCTTAAGGCAATTGTTTAATAAATGGGAAGTTATACTTACAAACTAAAAGTTTGATTGAAAAGTATGTCAATGTTTAATTTCTTTTAGGTAACTATATTTATATAAAATTTAATTCTCACTTTCTATAATATGAATAACGATAAAGTATGGTTATGAGGTTATGAAGTGAGATAATTTATAATAATAAATACAGTGTACACATAATAGTATTTCACACTAACCGCCTAAAAATGTATTTGATAAGAATAACGTTTATTGTTTAAAATAAAGTAAAATTAAATATTATACATACCGGACAATAATTAAAGTTATTTTTTTGCAGAAATAATTGCAGATTATCATGAAAATCTTAAGGCTAGACGTGACAAGTAAAAGGGGTGGGATTCAATAAGGAAATCATAATTACAATAATAGACCTATTTAAATAAAAAATTAAATTAATAAATTTAATTGTAACTTCTACAAATATATGAATAGACATTATGCAACCAGTGCATTAATTTAAAACAGAATTCTTTAATCGAAAATTACTTGTGAAGTAGGGATGATTTCTTAACTATAAATATAATGAAAATTTTACTCACTTGAATAATTATCTGCGGGATATTCCTAAAAAATATATCAAAAAATGCACCACATATAATTCCAACTTCCAAAATATTTTCAAGTATATTAAATATAATGATTCGCTTGTAATAGGATAATTTCTTAGTAAACATAAGTAAGTCTTTCAAAATCGTCAAATATTCATAATCGGTTGTTATTAAAATAATTAGCATAGTAACTAAGCTTCGATGATTATTAACCCAATTTTTGAAAATTCGCCTATAACGGGATTTTTAATTCCTTCATATATGGTATAAATTGTTATATAAAAGTTTATGTGTAATGGAATACTGAGGACGATCACACTTCAAATAGTGTTTTTTTGCAAGATCGAAAGATAAAGATGATAATAATTTAATAATAATTTAATGACAATTGAAATAAGCTTATTTAGCAAAAATACCTTGGCCAGTAAAGCTCCGGCACATTTTTAGAATTATAAACAACAAAGAGAACTGAAAGAATAAAATTAGGGATGATTAATCCAAGCCTTAAGATTGCAGAACTTAGTGTCTCGAATTTTTTTGATTTTAACTTTTTAAATAAAATTTTAATAAATGTTCGTGATAA